TTACTCATAGCTGGGAGGAGAAGAGGATTCATACCTTTCCCAAGGGTATTAGCATGTAAGTGATCCTTATTACATATATTTCTCATCTTTAAATGAAAAAGAATAAAATAACATCAATTTTAACTTCATTAATAGATATTATATGGTTGTATGCATAACATAGCAGTTAACAGTACAGAAATTCATATTGATATTGAGTTCAAATTCTTGTCATTTGCCTTTGCATAAATAACCTTGCAAAAAGTATGAATCTACCACTTCTTCAACACCCAAATATGGTTTAAAAGCAGGGTAGACTGGGCTCTTTAGCTTTGCTTACCAGCTAACCTAAAAGCAGAAAAGCTTTTGATTCAAAACTGGTTAGGTGTGAGGCTAGCCAGATTATGTCTTGCAAGTTTTATAGAAAGAAAAAAACAGTATTATATAACAGTTCATGATATAATATCAGTACCCCTGTATTACAGTGAATGCTGAACCATATCATCACAGATGAAGAGACTTGAAGTAACAGAACTGTAGTTCTACAGAAGGATGCTGAGAATTCCATGGACTGAGCATGTGAACAACAATGAAGTTTTAGAGAAAATGGAAGCAAAAATGAGACATAATATCAGAAAGAGAAAGTTGAAATTACTAGAAAGAAAATTTTGATAGTCATAGGACATAGTGAATGCAAAAGGGAAAGAATGAAAAAAAACAAATAAGTAACGTAAAAAGTTTATGTAAATGGATGGCAGAACAGGGTTTAGGAGAGATTGCAAAAAAGACAAAATGCACTAAGAGCTACACAGGACAGGAAATTGTGGAGAGGCATGATCGCTAATGTCCAGAAGGGATATATCATATAAAAGAGTGAGAATGCATTAAAAAGTGAATTATTTTACATTTTTACACACACACACATATATATATATATATATATATATATATATATATATTACACACACACACAAGTATATATGCACGTGTGTGTGTGTGTGTGTACAGAGTGCAATGAATAAATTAAAAAAAATGAAAATATCACTGACATCTCACTTTTAACAGATATTTACCAAAATTACACAAAAATATCTTGAAATACTGAAGAGTAAATTTATTCAATAAAATCACCATTGGCTTCAACCACAGCCTCCAGATGACTTCCTTGTTTAAAGTTGGTGAATGCTGCCATAATCCTTGCCTTCAGTTCATCTTTAGTGTTATGAGGAGTTTTGTCAGTCTCTCGCTCATTTGCGCCCCACATATAATAATCAAGGGGGTTGCAGTCTGGGGAGTTAGGTGGACTGATGTATGGTGTGATATGGTCACAGAAATTGTCTGACAGCCATGACTAGGTTCCACTGCTTGTTTGGTATGGTGCAGAGTCCTGTTGCCAAAAATAGGGAATTCAAGCAGCCACCCTCTTGACCTAGGGCAGCATTAACTCCTCAAGGTACTTCATGTAGGCCTCTGTGTTGAGTCTGGGGCCCTTTAGAAAGCTGAATGGAGGCATAACATTGTCATCATTAGTGATTACCCAAAACACCATGATGTTGAATGAATATATCATCTAACTCTTTCCAAATCCTCTGTACTGTCCTCAGATTAACACCCAAGTACACTGAAATGTTTGTACTGGAGCTTCCAGCATGAATGCCAAGCAGTAAAGAATGCCGGCTCCATATTTCAGGTGTAGTGAATTATGTTATGGTAGTCTTTCTTACAGACGGTGCCCAAATGACCCTACTAAAATGTGCAGTCAACAAAATCAAAAACAAACAATGTGTATGCATGAAATTAAAAATATAAAATGGCAACAACTTAACCATCACACCCTGTTGTGTGTGTGTGTGTGTGTGTGTGTGTGTGTGTGTGTGTGTGTGTGTATGTATATATATATATATATATATAAAAATAAAGACATGTGTAGAGTAAAATGTCTTGTTAATGTAGTTGTCGTATATCCAACATATATGACCATTCATCCATTGTGAGACATTTACACCAACATTCCTGTCCACTTTCACAGTATAAAAAAATACTGATTGATAACAACTATCCTATACCAAGAAAATAACAAATTAAAAATACAGATCCTCAAAGTAATCTACATTAAAAAATTGAAGCTGACATTGAATAGAATCAGCTACGAATACTGTAATAATGTTCTAAAATGAATATAAAAAAAAGAACAGTTTTATTGCTTTAAAGTGCGTTTGATCATGATATTCCAACATAAAAGAAAAATTCCACAATGGATAATATTTCATGTTGTAATGAACGTTAAGTATGACTGTCAACTGCTGCATTTAAAAGCAAAATGAAAAAATTTCAGTAATGAATAGCAACACACAGTTTTGTCTTACTACTTGCCCCCCTGAAGATAATCTCAGAAAGAGATAGAACATACTTGGGAAATAAAAGTGATTTTCACATTCCTTGCATCATTTGATTGTAATACACAGAAGGTTATCCATGAGTATGAACAGATTTATGCTAAACATAAGCAAACATAATGTCTGTAATTTATTTAATCAGACATGCCTAAAAGAGAATTTGCTGCCTAAATACACAAATATATCTCAAATATGTGGTGCAGTTCAATTTATATTACAATGAATCATTCATACAAAAAGTAAATTTAGTAAAGTTAATGATATAAAATGGCGAAATCCCTTTGCTAACAAAATTTTAAAGGTGCATTAACCTACAAATCACTCGAATGTTATGACTTGTTTTTTAAATTTATAAGCTGTATGAGGTCTTTCTTAAATACGCAAGTACTTTTGACTGTACATTTGCATTATATTTTTTCCATGCCTGAAAATGATTGAATTTACTAATTTACTTTTTGTATGAATGATTCATTGTAATATATATTTTGCATTTATATATATATATATCTTTCACAATCCTTCCAATGTCGATGTTGCCGGAATAGATAGTGCCCCTCAGCCTGAACTTGACATGGAATCAATTCCTTGAATAAAACAGTTCAATTCAAACAAAATTCCTGGACTAAATGGTATTTCTGTTGAGTTATTGAAACAGGGTGGTATGAATGTCCATTGTACAGTCCACTATGTATGGAGGGGTGACCCAGTTGCTCAAGACTGGAGAGATGCTATTCTGATTATGCTGTACAAAGGAAAGGTGAAGAAGTCAAACTATGGTAATTACTGTGGTATTTCACACCTAGAAGCAGTTGGAAAAGGTGTTTGCAAGACTCTTGTTAAAATGATTGAAGTATATTTGTCCTGATGTCTTTCTGGTGTCCCAATCTGGTTTTAGAGGCAGAAGAAGGACTGTAGACATTATATTCTCTGCTAAACAACTTGTAGAAAAATGTACTGAACAACTTTGTCAGGATTTTATTCAGCTGACTAAAGCTTTCAACACAGTGAATTGTGAGGTTCTCTGGAAGGTGCTTGGAAAAACCTGCTTTTATTGAAAAGTTCAAGCAACTACATCGCTGTATGAAAGGTCATATCAGTTTCAATGGTCAGCTTTCAGAGGAACCCCATATACAGTGTTATATATATATATATATATATATATATATATATATATATATATATGTTAGATACTATATATATAATGCATAGCATCATACCAACTATATATATATATAGTTGGTATGATGCTTGCATTGTATCATAACAGCCCAGGTTCAATTCTTGGTAGTGAATGCACACTGCTAGATGAGTCTTAAATACAGGATGAAACAACTGTCTAGTGCTTTCATGTTCTGTTGTAGTTTCTTCTAGACTCGATGAATTACTTAATTATGATTATCTCAAATCCTCCTAATAATTTCAATTATATATATATATATATATATATATATATATATATAGCAGTGAATGTTAATCTGATTATTGAACTTAAATCAAACCAAGTGAAAGTGCCCTACAATCTTCTTCTGTCACTCAGTAGCTTGAGTATGTGGATGTTGACTAAGAAGTATAATATCTCTGCAAGAATTTGTTTTTGAAAAACATGATTAGCACAGAGAAAGAAAAAGACGATTTGGGTCAAAGAATTCTCCCATCAGCAATTTGTATGATATTTGTGCACATGACAATTCCTTATAAATTCTCTCAACTTCATAAGAATCATCAATATTCCAAGTGATGTTTGAACAATTTTTTCTGAATTACATTGGTAGAGCAATAAAATTGCAAATAATGTTGCTACAAAAATTCATAGAAATAAAGCTCTGTTTCATTGGAAATGTATTGCAAATAACGCTTCTAGGAAAATATTTGTAAATAATATTTCTAAGATGATACATTGCCAATAATGTTTATATTTATAAAGTATGCATTACAAATATATATAATTTCATGAGAATCATTAATAGCTCAACAGTTGCTCTAATACTAAATTCATTTAGGTTATGTTTTTTGTTACAACAATTCAACCAATCTACTCTACAGTCTTCTTCAGGTAGATATTCCATATAAAAAAGAAAAAAAGGGGGAGTATTTTTCATATTGCATCATTCTCTAACTTGCTCCATCATAAAAAAAATTGTTTTTGAATTGTACACCCAAAATAGAATATAAAATAGGAAAAAATGTGAGAACAACAAAAAGAATGAGTACAAAAGTCCAAACAACACTCAGAATGATACAAACAACAATTTTATTGATTTTCTTTGATTTCATTTCTATGCAAAATGAGGTTATAAACATGAGCCTTTCTGAAATATTTTTTAAGTAAAATCTTTTTACACAACTTGCAATCCCATTTTATGAAAAATCAACTCATTTTTATAAAGATCTTCATATTCTAAACCTGAATCAACTAGCAGTAATTATACAGTTGAGTTTGGAAAAGTAGTTATATGAAATGTGTTGTACATTCAAACATTCAATTGTAAAACTGCAAAGATTTAATTCAATAAGAATCAATATTATTTTCAATTACAACATACTTTCAGATTGATTTTCTTGAAAAGATATTGTTTCTGTTATTAGAGAGAATTTATCATTTGAATACTGATAAGTAAATAGGCTTATGGCCATATTAGATAGAAGCACTGGTTTCTATATGATCACTGAAGTTAAGCAATGTTGAGCCTGGTCAGTACCTAGATGGGTGACTGCTTGGGAATACCAGATTGGATGTGCAGGTGGCATAATGGATAATGGCTTGGAATTGATAATCAGAGAGACAAGCTTCAATTTCAGTTGGGTTCATTATATTCACTTACATGCAAATACCCTTGAGAAAGGCATGAATCCACCTCTTATCCCCCAGTTATGGATTAATTAGTAACACTTGCATTATAAAACCATTATTATCTCTAAAAATTCTTACAATCTAAAAGTACTTTCTGGCTTTAAATAATCTGCAATAAGCCATAATAATGAATGAATCAATTGATCAATAAGTAAATAGGTAATGTACTGTTATATTCTGTACCTATGAATACTAATGTGTATGTCCCAATCCTCATAAATATGTTGAACACTATTGTAAGTTGGGGTAATACACTGTCTAAATAATCCACCACTAGCAGTGGTTTACCTACTTCACGCTGCTGGTGAGTATTGTATTTTGTTGATGTTACCATTTCATTTCCAACCTCCATTTTGGCTATTCCTCATTCAGTAACCTTTTCTAGGTTACAACATGTACACAATTACAGAAACAGTAGGAATTTTGATAATATATGAGGATTATTAAAAAAAAAAAAAGTAATATTTTACAAAACCCTATCTATTAACTGAAAGTTAAAAAAAATTAAAACCCAGCTTTGCTAAAATATATTTAATGATATGTTAAAGGCACTGGATTTATTCTCTTGAACAAAAGGATTGGGCACATTAATCTATGTTTTAAATTTAGAATACAACTTTTTCAGAAGAGTATTTTGCTATTTTTTTGATCATTTCACCCCAAGCAAGGCAATAAAAGCCACTAACACAAGTTGTCACTGGTTGGTTAAAGTATGAATTTTATTTTTATTAAGGTCTAGCATTTTGATATCATTTACTCTTACAGTATTATGAACTTATGTTAGGTACAAGTACTGGCAGTCATTAACTTCACCGATAACTTTTCATATAAAACTAGGGAGATATTTTTGAGCAATTTTTTGAGAAAAAAGAAAAGGTGGATCAAATACGGTAAATTGTAGCAGAAAAAAGGTAGATCAAATAAGGTAAAATACAGAAAAAAAGTGGATCAGGTATGGTAAATCAACATTCATGATATGGACATGATTAAATTAACCATATTTCTTTCTTTTCAAATGAATGTGATGAAAAAGTATTCCTAAACATTTCCAAATTTGTTCGCTGTTCTAAAGGTTGATCAAGTATGGTAAATTATAGAAAAAAGTTAGATCAAATATAGTAAATTACATAAAACATGCTTTTTGAAGGTTGGTTAATTTTCCCATGAAATCAACATTCATGATATGTACACTAAATTAACCAAAAGGACACTTTCCTTCTCAAATGAATATGAAGAAAAAATATTCCTAAAAAATCCCAAACTTTCCATCCGTTCTAAAGAACAATATTCAATAAGACTAAATCATCTAATACAGAAGTTTCTGAATAGAGTTGCACTAAGTTGTCTGGTTATGGAGACATCTAATCCATGGACACTGAACAAAGACAAGGAAAAACACTTTCGTTAATTTGATTTCTGTAGCAATAAGCAAGAAAGATGGACAAAACAATGCAGAGCAAAGAATGTATTCAAAGAGACAATAAAATTAGAACAAGTTTTTTTTATCAGCTAAGCAAATAGCTTGACTGCCACTGGGAGAATTTTGTTGAGACAAAATGTTATTAGTTACAAGAATTAAAAGCAAAAAGCCATGTTGATAAGAATCAACTGAAATAATAATGAGATCAGTTGTCATGGTAACTGATTCTTTCTCTAAGCTCAACTGAGAAGCAAGCTCCAGCAGAACACAGATAATTTTTTGAATTGATACACTTGAACATATGCATTGCTTCAAGATCAGAATTGCTAGATTGGGCTGAAAGTAGTGAACTGGACACAATTTGAAAATTCATTGCGATTAAATTCTGAAATGATTTTCTTTACAACTCAAGTTAGCAGCATTTATTTTAAAAATTGGTCCAAGTCGAAAAATTCAGAATTTAGCAGCATTTCTTCTATATGCTATGACATCTTCCTTTTATGTATCATTTCCCTTCAGAATATAAACAATCATGGCTCTTCACAGCTTCCTATCCTTTGTAGCTCTAAGCAATGTTTGTCCCCTTACTATCATTTCTGTCCATGTTCTGTCATCTCTATATACAAGTTTGTTAGGTAGGTTAGTTGCTGTTCCATTCAAATGAGAAGCATGTCTGTCAATGTTACTGAGGAAACATGTGGGGAAGTCAACCACTTACATGAGAGATTGACTGATTGAGAAGTTAAGAGTTTGGATACCAGTGAAATCAGTGATGGAGTGTTTAAGACACCTGGTGTGGTGGGCATTAAAGTCACTGAACACGAATATGTTTGCAAACGGTTGTTGGGAGATGGCCTTGTCTATATTATTGTCAATACTATCTACTATGCAGCAGTCTTGAGAGGAAGGGGAATGGTAGAGAAAGAAAATATAGCTGACTGAGTTAAGTAAAGAGAGACAGAGACACATATCTGAATGGTCTGGACATTCACGAGAATTCACTAACCAGCAAGAGATGGTCACAGACATAAATCCCCAGGCCATGCATGTGAACTTTAGACTCTTTTCTAAGGAGAGGAAGGTAGTCAGGAATCGAGAAATCAGAGGAGGGAATTGAAGAGTTAAGTTTAGTTTCATAGAGAGCTAGGATGTTCAGAGACTTTTCAAAGAGGCACGATTCAACACTGCAAAAGTTGGTATGAATATAACAAATGTTAAAGAAAGGTTGAGGGATTTAGATGTTTTTTGTTGAACTGTTTTAAGTTTATATCTTTGGTTGTTTATTGTTAGGATGAGTTATATTGGTAAAGGAAGGTCGAGGGTAGTAGTAGCAGTTGGTCATCTAATGTAACATGTACAGGAAGGGAACCGGTGCAGACTGCAACAGTGTGGCCTCAGGGTTGACCACTGGAGGTGCTTGCAAGGACACCCTTCCATGTGTGAGATGGCACTAGTGGTATTATCATTTTGCTTGGAGTGAAAAGAAAAAAATATTTATGTTTTAAATTAGTTTTAGCCCTCAGATACATGGTTAATTATTTTGTTTTACTTAGAAAATACTTAAAACTTAAATAATGCTGTCATTTTCTGATGGCATGAGTTAAATCTTACTATTAATAATACCAGTTATAATAATAATAATATTAATTAGAAGAATAAATAATAATAAATAATAATAAATAATTATATTAATTAGAAGAATAAACAGAATTCCCTCCAATCACAGCTGAAAAGTTTTACATTAAAACAATGTAGATGAGACATAAAATCTGTAGTGACTAAAAAGAGTGGTTGGAAAATTTGACACACACAGGACATACTGAAGGTGAGAGGGACAGAGATGAAGCAGAGAGTAGCCTATCTAATGAGTATGTGTAAATAGATGGAAGAAAAGAGACAAAGAGAAAAAGACAGTGAAGAGTGAAACACTGCTTAAAGCTGCAATAGACTGGAATTAGTGAAGAGCTATCCCAAGAGTAGACTTGTGCCTCTTTTCCTAGAATTTAGTGGAATATATTGTATGTTATTTATTATATAAATATGTAGTGAATATGAATTCAGTAAATATACAAGAATATAGAAAGAGGTATAAGACAGGGATTTGTCAACAGACTTAGTCAACCTTTACAGTGACGCAATTCTGAAAGAATTAGAAGTCCTACTAGGATTTATTATTGGTGGCCACAATCCTAACATTAGATATGCAGATGATGCAGTGTTGATAGGAGACAAAGGAAACTACAAGAATGTCTACAGAAGGTAGTAAAGAAAAGGACTAAACATTAAGAATGTATGTTTGTTATTAAAAGGAACAGCTGAATATACAAATTATAAATCAGAGATACCAAAATCAAACAAGTGCAAAAGTTTAAATATCTTGGAAGTGTTTTAACAGAGGATGGAAAATGTGATACTGAAATCACAAAGTGCATAGGATAGTGAGAAATGCATTTCAAAGGCTAAGGAAAGTATTAAGAAACAGGAAAATTGTATTAGAACCAATGAAAAGAGTACTAAATTGTTATAGCAGTCCTCCTATATAGCAGTGAATGCTGGAGAATCTCCTCATAGATAAAGAGACTTTAAGTAACAGAAAGGTGGTTCTACAGAAGGATGCTGAAAATATAGATTAAACATGTGAGCAGTGACAAAGTTTTAGAAAAAAAAAGGCACTTATACTTAGAATCAGAAAGCGAAAGTTGAAATTTCTAGGGCATATGAGAAAAGATAGCTTAGAAAATTTGACACTCCTAGTACATATAGAAGAGCTTGTGTAAATGGATGGCAACACTGGGTTTAGAAAAGATAACAAAAAGACAAAATTTATTAAGCCCTACAAAGGACAGGAAATTGTGGAGAACCATGATTGCACACATCCTGAAGAGACATGGCATATAGAGGAAGAACTATATTTCTTCTGTTGCTTCTTTTATGTGCTATGTCCTTTCAGAACATGTTCGATCATGACTCCACAAAATTACTGTCTTTTGTAGCTTAAAGCACCATTTAACTCTTCACTTTCCTTTTTTTTGTCCTGTCTCTGCCATCCATTCACAAAAACTCATTAGACAGGTTACTTGCCTTCTTGCCTTTATTATGTAATGCGGGTGTTAAATTTTTGAAGCTGCTTTCTTCATAATGTGCTCCAAAAATTTCAATTGTCTCTTTTTGATTTTAAGCATGTCTTTTTCGTTCACATTTTCTTTGAGACTTCTTTGTTGCTTACATATTTCCAACTATCTAAAGGAAAGTAAATAATCGAAAGATGATCTTGATATTGATGTAAAGTTCAATCAGTTACTTCTGTTTTGAATTCTACAAACATATAAACTGTTTTTTTTTTTTTTTGTATCTGAGAAAAACCTCTGTTCAAAGCCAGTGTAGTTAGCAACTAAAACATAACTCATTATTGTGAAAATACTTGTTATGAAAAATATTTATTGTTGAAAATAACAATT